CCTTTAAATTCTCTGTTTTTTATCATCTTCGGTGTGGTTGCGCTTGAATTGGATGTTGACAAGGTACCTGCCTGTCGAAAAATCACTACCTCTATTTTATTGGTTTCATGAGATGGTTGGTCGTTTCTTGGGAAAATGGGTTGCACGGTTCACGTGACCGTGCTAGGCTCAACGAGTTGTTCCATCCAGTGTGGAGCGTGCCGCGGCGCAGCCACGGCTTTGTGTACTTCTGGTACACATGGTTCCCAATTTTGATAGTCAGGAATGCTTCAGCTAGGGATATTGAAAATGCGAGGTGGTTCACTTGAGGAAACGGTGCTCTCATCTACATGCCACCTAGCCTTAATCTTTCTGGCTCACACTGGATTGGGGGTGTGTGAATGGAGCTGTGGGTGGTGCATTGCAAAGCACCCAAGTAGACGCAAGCGCGTGTAGCTGTACTATGGAAACAGCAGTGACAAGCAAATCCGGAACAGATTGCCGCCAACCAATGGCGGCAGATCAGGTGTTGTGAGAAATTGCTGAGTTGTTAGATGAGGAATTGCAAGCGACTGGTAATGTAACCACGACTATGGTGCTTAAAAAGAAGAGTCATCATATTGATTGATACTTTGAACAGACTATTTGCTGTGGCTCAAACTGACATAGATTACACATCATTGTGGAAGACTGATAACGGTGAAGTGCGTAGGACCAACGCCAAGAACGTTGGTCACTGAACCTTTTCAGAATTCTGAGTAGCTCTTGTCACCAATCAAAGGGCTATGCGTTTGCTTTCGCAGCGGCGTAAGCGATACATCCGGAGTCGTCCGCTGATCACACTTACGCTAGTATCACAGCTTACGACAGCAAAAGAACTGTTCGTTCAACCGAAGAAGGCGCCGTGGCAATTGCTTGTACCCTGTCCACTGGGAGAGACCACATATTCATCTTGTGCAATCAGCTGAAGGTTGCAGTGCCCCACATTTACTAGGGCTATGCAGTTAGCTCAGACTCTACGTGACCTCCGTTATCCTTAAGCGCAACGTCTGTCCACCGTCTAACATTAAGGTCGCAACATTGTTAGCTGAATACGGGTCTCAGTGCGCAGACTCAAATGTCACTCAGCCCGATGCAGTGCAAGCAATGCGCTGCATCCACTCCACCAGATATACAGATAGTTTGCACCAGTTTACACGTGAATTAAGTAATGTAGCCGTAGTCTGCTGTTACCTCATGTCATTGGGCCCCGCTCGCACTGTGGGTGCTAGCGTTCTCACGCGCGTCCACGGAAAGCGGCGGCTATCGTTCAGGCCTTCGTGCTAGCGTCCGTTCTCGTATGCGGCAATCCAGCCCTCTTTAATACTTAGTCCCTGCTTCAGTAGTGCCGTGCGTCACGCGTCTGCCTCCGCCATTTAAGTGCAGACCGCAATGGCCGACTCCAGCGCTCAGGGTGCAGACACACTGAACGCATCACAAAGACGGGAGGATGGCTGGGAATCACATACAGCGTGCTCAACCACCGCCGGCGCATAACCACCCATGTGGATTCAATGTAGCTGTTCATTGCTGAGTTTGAATACTGAGCGTTGACTAGTACACCCAAAGCGTGTTCGTTCTGTAGTCTGGGTTTAAACTCACGCTAGCCTCCGACGCAAACGGCGCGGAATTGAGTGCGTCTGCGCGAGTTGGATTCAGCTTGCTTGAAGGAAGTACTAGACTGAAGTTACTAATGGAGGAATGCGATATTTCTTAAGGCGTAACATTACTGTACTACGGACGCAGATAGCTGTGAAGTTGCTTTGTCCTAGTCAATCTTTTACCGTCAAAGGCAAGAAAATCTTGTTGCTTCCATTATTTCACTGTTCCACGAAGTGTGTTCGCATAAAATCTAAGGTAGAACCGGTACCTTACCGGGTACATCGCACGAAATCGACTCACCAGGCTAGTGTGCACGTTAAGTTGATGGCTTAGTGTGGACAACTATAATGATGAATATCCTACTTGTGGATAAGTACAAGATCGATAATCTGATCGATTCCACCCCACGGATCGACTAGTGTGGTCGCTTTTCAAGATGGCGGGACGCTAGCTAACCGGATGCTTCAATTCGTGTGGGCTCAGAATGGGGCAATCTAAGGGACAAACAGGGCACCTCAAATTTGTCCACTCGGTGGCAGCTATCTATACGACGCATATCTGTGGTGAAAATTGCTCCTGGAGTCGCCGGTTCCATGTTTATTAATCCGAATATATGGTCATACGCATTTAGGTATATAACCAAGCAGGATTTCATGAAGTAATGGCCTTATTTGTAGCGTATAAAATCAAAGACGGATATCAACTGACTTGACCACTGTCAGCTTTTAGTAGTGGCGCCTTCCACACCACATTAAGTTAGCTTACGTGTACCCCTTATATGGGTACAGCATTCGTAAGCGGTTATCCTGTCAATGTTCCCGAAAAATGGGCAAGTACGAGCTAGTAGTGACGAGTGTGCAATAGTTTGCTCGACACATCTCGTGCTAATACCTCCCCGGGGTACATAAATAACAGTGAACATCTAATTGTCACAGCTGCGATACTCTTTTCTCCGACTACTCGGTTCCACAGACGCAGTCCTACAGTATAACTTTCGTCTAACTGCGAATTTTTGTTATGATGCAATGCTTATTGTACATTTCTCTCCATATGATTCGTCGTATAGTGTGCTTGGTCATTATTCCCGTTCTCCAGACGTAGCTGGCTGAGCTGAGACTAAAACCAAGAATGGCAGTCTTGTTGACATCAAAGAAGTTTGATCATTTTTTAAACATGTAACGTTGTTTGCTCTTACAGCATTTTTAACGGGGGACATTCGGTGGATTTGCACGCGAACTCATGCAGCTTTATTTGGACAGACTAGTTACACGTGTGAGATTTATCGTTTTATTCATGGTTATTCTGATTAGAGAACATGCTAACTCTTTCATCACTGTAAAATACTCGCCGTTTATTTAACTATCGTACATACGTGGCGTGTTTCAAAACACAGATGATATTGACACATCTATCTGATCCAGACTGCCGTCTCAACACTTAACACTTAAGTGCTCTAACGATTCTCTCCTACGTTAAATTCGATGCAATAAATATGTAAATCGTTATTCATTCACGCAGATCTGGTTCAAAAGGAACTATCTATTAGCTATTTCATGCCGACCAATATATCAGACAGTCATAAGCCTTAGACTACCCAAGTGAACCATCTGTCCGGATCATTGCCTAACATGCTTTCTCAGAAGTCAGTTCATTGTGATAACCTGTGTTCAGATTCTGATTCTCTTAAACATACGGTCTTCTATCTTTCAGCATTTGAACGGCTGTAAAGACTTGGATACTAACGCCACAAACACACTGTTTGTTGGAGGACATGCATCCGCCAGGGTTTCATAAACTCGTAGACTACAAATATCCCATAAGCATTGCGCTTCTAGTGTTCTCAAGTAAACAGCTTTTGATTCAGGTTGAAATAGACCAGTAGCTGTAACGAGGTCGCACAAATTGGGTGTTGCTCGCCCGAGTACATTGTATTTCAAAAATGACCTTCAGAATCCTGTGAAGAGACCGTTTTGAGATTCACCGGCGTAAGCCACACGCTGAAAGCCTAAACCTGTCCAAGCAGATAAATTTAGTCCTTATTCACTCATTGAAACTGCGTAACTATGGACCATCTTAGATGTAATCAGTGCAGTTCCTAATCGGTGGCCTAGAAAGCGTCAGATATCAATGCTAATTTTGATTTCATTTCTTACGCAGTATTCATGTTTCGCTAGAGATTTCACACAAACAATGTTCAGCGCTTACGAGCTGTAATCTGACCGGAATTCATGTTGGGGTAGTGGGCACCATGTTTTATGGCACTGACAGAAGAAACTCTTGATAAAATATCACAGCGAAAAGTTCCATTTACTACCGCAAAAATATGCTTTCAGAATAAGCTAGTATTTAGCTCGTAGAATCAACTCCGATTAGTTTCGATGGACAGTTTTTTTGCATCCTAAGAAGCGTACTGACTATGTGCAAACCAGCCTCTGCAGCATTAGGTCGAACCAGCAAACCCTGTAAGCAGAACAGGCGCGCGAAGAACTTGGGAAGGTGTATTCCGGCTTGTAGCTCGTCTCTCTTGAAAACTTAATCAGTGATAGCAGCCAATCAACCAACGTTCAATCAAGCAATTGCAAGGTGGGCGTACGTAGACACGCGAAAGCGTAGAACTGTCAGTTGGCGCACACAACCAGCGTCTCTCCTCCTTGGGAATATGCTTGTCGATATTATTGCTCCTAGACAATGATTGTGTCAACATCTTATATTAAGGAGGAAGTGCGTGAGGGTAAAGCTACAATCCGTAGGGCAGCACTCGCATTTTACATGCAGATACTGTATTGGAGGGTACCATTCTACTATTCTAGGATACACATTTGTGCTTCGACCGACCAAATCTGAAAAACCAAAAACAAAGTTTTACATAATAAGGACGGTGCTAAGGTGAATGCCATTAGAAGGATTCCGGCAGTTAGCGTGTAGAATATACCTTGCATTTATTCGCCAGGTAGGGCAAAACAATCACAGCTAACATAATGAATACAAAATATTAAAGGCTGCGAGAGAATATCATGGGTAAATACCACTAGTGAATCTGAAGGCCAGGAAGGTGGACACCAATTACTTCGACATCATCTATGGCTAATGTCACATAGCAGCTCAAAAGTTTGTGGACAGTAGTGAATAATCGTTTCATGATGGGCTGCGCACAGGTAAATACAGGGTGCAGCAAGGTAAAAGACAAGATAATTCACGGCCGTACCTCTTAACGTGTTGACGAAGTTTTAATGCAATAAAGGCATAAAACACTTGCTTTACTTAACAGACATTGTTCATTGCGCTGTTTACCTGTTGATGACTAGGCTACGTCACTTTATAAATCTATACAGTAACCTACTCATCATGTGGAAAATATTACCGAATCTGACTTAACTTACCGATAACAACGCAATACTTTTCTCGTGGTATGGTGGACAAACAGTTACTGCTCGGGCCATAAATAGGACGACGTTCAAATTCCCAGTAAAAGGAAGTAATGGGATTCCCTCGAATGAACGCCCGCACCATTGTGTTGCGATGAATCAGCTGGCCAATTTTGTTGTTTGCCATGCGAATCGTCGGAGGAACTGAATGAAGTTTAAGGGTACAGTTGAAATAAACAACCGCCATGATAACTGAGAGCGGAGGGGAATGACAAGCAGCAGAACCGTAGGTTTGTGCCTGGTCACCTAAGTGTATGATTTCCGAGGCGGTACTATCTGCGTCAAAGTAAATAACGAAGAATATGGTGCGATCACACCAATCAGTAGGCCTACAACTAGTGTGAATTCATTCTGACAAGCAATCGACAAGCTGGGGTTTTGCGTCCCGCTCAATTGTCGGAGTCACTACTCTTTCCTGCGGAATGCTGTGTTCTCTTTTAACATGTCGAGCAGTTAAAAATTAAGTATTATCATATTATATTAGTCAAGATATGTTTCTGGACTGTCACCATTTGTCTTGCCCGCAAGGGCTTAGATCCAAATGTACACAAATTCCCTGCTCTTGCCTGGATAATGAGAACATTGAGGGCAAATGCTTTTGTACATGATTACCGTACCAAGTAGTAGAGCTATGATTCCTACACCTATTTCACAGTCCTTGGCAGTTTTCTAGTGGTATACTGTTGTAGGAGTTTACCGCACCTAAAGCATCTCGCCCACCGTGATTTTCAGCTGACATTTTTCTAACGATCTTCGTGTTCGCTGAAAATAATAGCGAGGATCGGGAGCGCAGCCGTATGCATTCCCATTTTTATTATGAAGTAGGACCTAACTCTCGACATATCTCACTCCAAACCCGTTGGAGTGTTCCAACGGAATCATATATATTTCACACGTGCGAGAGGCTGTCGCTGAAGTAAGTATGGAGCATTAGTACGGTAATGATCGTGCTCATGTATGAGCGATAAATAAATAAATGAACGTTTTATTCTTGACGGTGCGTGACACGACTTCAAAGGCATGATCAGGGTAATACAAACGCGTAACATCAGTAATAGCACAGCTTTGTTACGATTTAATCTGTACATATTGGATATATTTGTGTATGAATGTGTTGTATGCATGTGGGTGCATTTGTAAGTCATTGTGTTGTGTGAAACTGTATTACTGTGAATTTGAGTTTGTTTGCTTAATGCACCAACATAGGAAGTGATCAGATCAAATCTTTGATGTAGTTAACCTTCGCGAAACGTATAAGATCATCCGGTATGGCAAAGCAGAGAGCTTATTTCGTAGCGTCATATCTGCCACGTCACAGTGTTGTTAAGCAGACATTTGCAGCTTGTTATGGGGAGAACGCTTGTCAGAAGAAAACCCACCACGAGTGTCATCAAACAACTCAGAAACACATCTTTTGTTGTTGCGGAGGTTCGTTTAATAGCTTTTCTCACTGGATATATATCTTTTGCTTATTCCTGGAAGAACTCGTTTGGTGATTCGCCCTAGGGAAACATAATCATTATCGATTTCTGGTTGAGGAAACGCCCAGGTTTAATGTGATATATTCTGACATGTGTACAGTGTCTGATAATGGCTGGTAGGCTGTACCACACAATAACTTGTCCAACGAGGAATAAGTTGGATCTAATAGCTTCTTAGTTGTTGGCTCAATTAGTTAGAAGTCTCGTTGGGAAGCTTCCGGATGAAATTGTGTTGCAATTTTAAGGTGAGCAGATTGTGTACGAGCATTAGGTTATGTTTCAGTTATCGCTGCCAAAGAGGCTCGAGGTTAAGCTGCGGACAACTCCTGATAGCTCAAGAAGGACTGCTTACTGAAGGAGTGTTCAGTGAATGACCATTACCAAAGGTTTCCTGTCACTCATAAGCATGTTCCTTTGAATGATTCTGCTGTATTCAAAGAAGTAGGTGAGAGTATTTCGAAAAGCTGGATTTTGGCAGAGATTGTATGGATGTTATGACATATTTTAGGCATTTGTCCTTTGCAGCATGCTATCGTTTACTCGGCCTGCTCCGAGAAATTGCAGTTTGCTGAATATCTGATGCCTAAATCACCGTTAGACAGTCCCACACAAATGCATTCATTATTCAGTTTAACTAACTCTTCAGGAGCCAACAATTCGTGTGACGCGAAGCATGATTTGCTAGCTCAAAACTGCATCAGCCACGTGTTGCACCATTAAGAGATTCGACGTTTTCTTGGAAAAACAACATTGTGCTTTGGAGTTCATCTCGCAGAAATTAAAAAAATTCCTAATGTCCTCAGCGAACAAAGATGGTCTGCCATATTTGATAAATGTTGTGATATCGTTGGTATAGAGTAGGAAAGGATTATGACGTCTGACTGTAACACAACCCACTCCGAACGGAAGACAAGAACACAGGGCACTAGGATGAGCTGTATTGAAAAATGGACAAAGCTGAGCAACCGGGATGCACAAAGATCAATAGATCAATAAGCGAACCACATGCAAGGCCACAGGCATGTATCTTAAGCGGTCTAATTCTGAACGACTGTCGTGCGTGTCCAACACAATCACGTGGCGGCACAGTCACGAATGTCAATTTAGCTGCGAACGACCGTCAAGCGTGAGCCCGTCTTACAGAAGGGAAAGGCCAACTATGCGTCCTGGGAGGGCACCACTAGTGATTGTATGTGGGGAAGAGTAAATTTTAGTCAATAACTATCTGTTATTACCAATTTAAATATAATGTCAAACAACCCAATAATTCCTGGTCCCAAATGCCTCGATTTTCGGTAGCCCCCTGTGAGGCACCCGGTCGAATGGCTTTTGCGTATCCAGGAACCACATTATTACTGTAAAACTAGAGTCAGTGTATTCTGCGATGTAATCCAGCTAAAGCAGTTGACAAGTTATATTGGAACATTTAATAAGGAGCCCATGCTGAGCTTTGTTAAGCAGTCCATGACGATTTCATTTTTTCATTAATTTTTCGAGCAACGATGGGTACATAATGGAAATGCCCAGAATTGGTGACATCCTCACTGGGCACCCCTTTAGGACGAGAAGTAATAAACGATCCATTAGATGGCTAACTAAAACGGCGAAGTGAGCATGTTAAGTAAAAGTAGTGATCTTTTAGGTCGACTAAATTTACTGATGGACGTGTGGACTCCATCGGATTCCAGTTTGAGCTATGGTTTGATAGACTTCGTAGCCTGTTGATGGTCGAAAGAGAAATCACCGCATTGTACGTGACGCTACTTGTTGTGATTTCTGGGCAGGAAGGTATGGCATCTGTTTATCTGTTCGTGGGGACAGGGAAAACTAACTAAACTCCTCCAAATTCAGATAGATCATTTAGGAGGCGACCCTCCTCATCGATCAATCCCGGAACCCCGAACGTCTGATCCGGAGTGTCGGAGTGAACACGGAGTGAACACTTGTTACAGATGTTCACTTCATGCAACCGTAACACTAAGCAAAAGTTTTTGGCCTAGCTGAATTTCCTGAACAGTTATTGACCGGAAATATTAGCTTAACCATGTAGTTGCATATTTTTAATAGACATGTCGGAGATGCATTTTTACTTTGAAATTTTTCAGCTTTCATGGAAAGTGAAGGAGCAGCACTGGACTGCATATCAGGATGCAAACTTTTGGTGAACAGTCTACTGCACCTGATTAACTTGCAAAATCCCGAGTTGGATTTTAGATCCATTTGATGGAAAGTCTTGCGATGTTAGTTAAAATCCAGGTACAGAATTTCAGAGCAACACATTGGCAAGATCCGAATTCATCAAATATAAAAGAATTCTTGATTAAAGACTGATGCCCGTGATAGGTGTCCCCAGCCTATGGGAAATTGGGAAGTATATTTCCTTGTTTTTCCATCCACATACTTGGTTGCAGGTGGATGCAACAGATCGGTTTCTCTAACAAAACGAGTAAACTGCTTGGAAATCACAGCAAGAGAAGCTCTTGGACTTTTGCTGTCCGGTCTAGAACGGTAAATAAGCAAACATGTTAAAAGACATCAGGCCCAAGACTTCCATTAGTATCTCAACAAATATACTGTTATTATATTGTTATTGTTAAGTTACTACAACTCGTAGCTCATAACATGCCTTACATATAAAAGCCGACGATAATAAAATGCACTTTAAAAGAATAATAATGACTTTATATGTAAGTACAGGCGAGCTACTTGATGTTTCCGCAAAATGAATGCTATCCTGAGACTAGGAAACTTCAAAAATGAAGTTTACAAGTGAAACAGCAATGGTGTCAACAGTGAGAGTTTGGCATTCATAACAAAAGTTACCAATATGAGTGCCAGCCATCACAGATTTATGTGGGCTACAGATAGCGGATTGCTGAAATTTGGGTGATGAAGGGGTGGGGGGCCATGAGAAATGGAAAAGTTCAAATGGGGCCAAGGCTGAATAAAGGTTGAGAATGTCTGGTCTAAGTGAGCAAACGTTTTTGAGAAGTCCACGTAGATAACATCTATTCTCGCTCCACCATCAACCTTTTCAATCCTAGATTCTGCGTGTAATTAATAGGTTAGTACTAAATGAGTGCTTTCAATGAAAGCCACGTCGCTGTAAGGCTATTGCGCTACAATTTTCCAGGGATTACATTAGCGGTTCTGTGATGCTTGAATCCTTAACTATGGAAAGCTCACGAAGCAGTGTTAGCCGACCGTCATTGGCAGCGTCACTGCGACAATCTCCCTTCTGCATAGGTGTGACAACACCTCGCTTCCATAAGGGTTGAATTTGGCTTTCCTCTATACAATTCTGATAGCAAATGGCCAGTGGCTCTGTTAGATAACTGCGTAATGCTTGCGAAGCTTTCGTCCAAACGTTACCGACTCCAGGAGGACTCTAATTAAGTAAGGATAACAGTTTCTGTAACTCATCTTCCGCAGTGAATTTGATGTTGGATAAATCTGCGGGTGGAGTAATAGAAATGTGGAAAGTATTTTGGGCTTGTTACCATCTAAGACGCATGGGAGTAATGAACACGTAAGATCTGTTATTTCCGTTTCTGATCGCGTGCATCCGTCAGGCGTGACTGGTTCTGGAATTCCACATGTCACCTAACGAAGGACTTAACGTGCTTGCATAACAGTTCGCGGTTCATGCAGAATCGCTTCATC